TGCCATGAACGTGGCGCGGTACCAGCGCTTCCCAGACAGCAAGCGGACGGGCATCTGGGCATTGCCAAGGCTGGCGGTGTTTACTTCGCAAGAGGTGCAACCTGGGGCTTCCCCTTCAGTAGCCACGACAGGAGCATGAGAAGAGGGAGGCTGTGCTTGGTCTTCCCTTAAGGATGGGGTGCTGCAGTGTCACCCCATCAGAGCCACGGATCAGCAAGGCCCAGAGCAGGACCCACTTCTGCCCTCAGCGTCTGTGCCATTTGGCTTAACCCAGGCCATCTACAGCCCCCTCCCCAGTTTGGCCGGTGCGCCATACACACAGCCCAGCACAGGGACTGGGGTCTTTCGGGGGTCCTTTTCAAACAGGAAGCATTGCATTGTGGGATGGAGGTAGGCCAAGTGGGTGTACCAGAGGGTTAAGGGTTGCAATGCCTGAGGGTCGCTCTCCGCCCCGGGAAGGATGCCCAGGGCCTGGATTCAGCCGGCTCTCAGAGCAGCGGTCCGTCCTGCACTTGTAAATGCCTGAGAGGTGCTGAGGGAGGAGGAGAGGAACCGGACGGAGGCTGCAGTTCGAGGAACGTCAGCCCATGGCTTCTTGCTGTAGCATTTTCCTGCTAATTTGGACAAGGCCAAAAATCCCATAAACGTCAACATCTGTCTAATCCGTCCACGCCTTTGAATGGGCCTCTTACCAGAGTACGGGGGGCCCTGTCGGAGAATTAAGGCGCATCAGTTCTCCATCCCCCCCGTGCAGGGGTTCTCCCTATGGGAATAACGCAGCAGGGCTAAAGAATCACAGAATACACAATACAGCAGAGGTGCTGGAACTAGGGGTGCGGGGGAGCTGCCACACCCCCTCACTAAATGACACTTCCTGCCCTGTGATTTCTTTGGGACTGGACCCTGGCAGGAGTCTGTACTGATTCCCTCCCTTCCGCCTTCCCACACAGTGCCACTACTCCGTCCACAAGGGGGCGGCTTTCCTGGGCATTGGCACAGACAACATCTACCTGGTCGGAGTGGATGAGAGGTGAGAGCTCACACTGGGAATGCTTGGGGCCTTTATCCAGACCTGGCACTGGTTCTATTCGACTGCGCCTCCTTCCCTTCCTACAGCTGGGAGAGGCTGGTACGACAGCCACTGGAAGCACCCCAGCGCCCAGGACTTCTGCCCTGCTCTCTACAGCTCTCCTTTCTGAGAGCTGGGTGCGCCCCAGCAACCAGCGCCCCCTTCTGGGAGAGGCTGGGACTGGAGTAGCCGAATGCGCCCCAGCACCCAAGGCACATGCCCCATTTCCTTCAGGCTCTGTATCTGGAGGATAATAATAATAATTAGTGGAGATATCCCATCTCCTAGAACTTGAAAGGTCATCGAGTCCAGCCCCCTGCCTTCACTAGCAGGACCAAGTACTGATTTTGCCCCAAATCCCCAAGTGGCCCCCTCAAGGATTGAACTCACAACCCTGGGTTTAACAGGCCAATGCTCAAACCACTGAGCTATCCCTCCCCCCATGCTGGGACTGCAGTGGCTGGGAGCTCCCACAAGCCATCACTCCTCCACGAGTCCCATCAGTGACTCTTGCTGGCCTAAGCAGGGAGCAGGGTAGCTAACAGCTCCCACAGACGCTTCCCTTCAGCCACCTGCCTTATCTTGGGTAGAAGAATCCATCTCTGCTCCCTACACAGAGTCCGCCCCTGGGGATAATTTGTGCTCTCATCCTCAGGGGGAAAATGATCCCTGCAGACCTGGAGAAACAGATCAACAAGGCAAAATCTGAGGTGAGTTTGAGGTGGGGTGAGGGGGGTCTGGTCTATGGGGCAGGGAGCAGCCTGCTAGGAACACCCTCGCCCTGTAACGCCACCCCCCACCCACTGCCCCTCTTCCTTTCCAGGGCGCCTGTCCTTTCTTCGTCAATGCCACCTGCGGCACCACTGTGCTGGGAGCCTTCGACCCACTGGTGGACGTGGCAGACCTATGCGAGCGCCACGGGGCCTGGTTTCACGTGGACGTGAGTCCCCCAAGGAGGGCGGGGCAGGGAGATGTGCCCTCGGGCGCTAGAGATTTAGGAAGGGCTCCGTCCCTGGGCGCGTGTGATGTCTGTCCAGGAAGGGAGGTGGGGCTAGGGGAGCAGATGAGGAGGTCACTGGGAACCTTTGATTACCACAGCTTGGCTGAACAGACCCAGCATTGCTGGTAATTGACAAGCCCTATCCCTAACCCCCACACGGCTTGTCTAGTTCACTCCTGTTGTAGCATGAAGGATCCTGTGAACGCTCTTCTATCCACACACACAAACCATCACCCATGTTCTGCGATGCTACTAACACCACTGGAGCACTGGCTGAAGCCAAAGTGAGCACAACTGGTCTGCTGCTATCACTCCGCAGTGAGGCTGCACTGCTTGGGGGCCGCTAGTCTTCCAGGGCCTTCCCATCATCCCCCTGGGCCACTTGGACAGTAGTTTTTTTTCCTGCCATCTCTCGTGCATCCAGCCTGGAAGTCACCTGCCAGTTCATACAGGCCAGTTTGGTGTTGGAACCAACGGCTGCATTCCTCCAGCTCTAGCGTCCTCTCTCCACGTGCGCTGGGCCTCATGCAAAACCCAGGCAGGAGGCTTTAGGGTCAGGCTCTCCCCTTAGAGCAGCCAAAAGGCAGGGGATCGTAGATGTCACAGTGAGAGAAGAGGCCCTAGGCTGAGCTAGAAGGACCATCTTGAAAATGGGTTCCCCTTGGCTGAGGGTGCAGCATGCCCCAGTCTCAGCGGGTTTAGCCACATGTAGCTCCCCATTGGCTGCTGACTGAACTCAAAGCGCTGCTGTCTCTCCCTGTTCCTCCTTGGCAGGCCGCATGGGGTGGGAGCGCCCTGCTCTCCAGAAGACACAGACATCTCCTGCGTGGGATAGAGAGGTGGGTACTGTCCCCAAACTGGGGGACAGGGTTAGCGGTCGCGCTCGCAGCTTCATGGTAGTAGTGGAGGTCAGAGCCGTTGAGATCAGGCGAGGGGCTGGTTACGCAGGACTTTACATCGGGGTGAAGAACTTCAAGGACGCACTGAGAACAGGTATTGAGCCAGAGCGGGAGATGATCTCTCCCTGCATCACGTGATCCTGTCCGATCCAGCACGGGCAGCCTGTGCCCGTAAGACCCTGAAATTAGCACATTGTGACGTCAATATCAGTGTGTGCAGCTCTGCTCCTGCTGGTGAATATCCCATTCCATACACCTCCTGGAGCTAGCCGTCCGCTGCCCCAGTGCACCCACAGCCGGCCCTGCGCTCCCCAGCCTGTTCCCTGGCCCAGCTAATGTTAATGTCTCACTGAGTCTCCCTTTCCCTTGCAGGGCGGATTCGGTGGCTTGGAACCCCCACAAGATGCTGATGACGGGTTTGCAGTGCTCTGCCTTCCTGCTTCGAGATAGCTCCGTAGGTCTTTGCCGCCGTTCCCTCCCCTGCAGTGATGAATGCAGCTTATGTGCTATTCCCTACAGTGCATTCTGCTGGAAGTGGCTGCAAATGAAGTGACAGGGAGCTCCCCCACAGCCAATAGCCCTGCCCCATTCCCTACAGCGCCCCCTGCTGGGAGAGGCTGGGACTGGAGTAGCTGGGAGCTCCCACCACGGCCAACCCTCCTGCCCTGCTCCCCACAGCGCCCACGGCTGGGCATTGTTGGAAGTGGAGTTTCTGTGAACATGTAGAGCCAATCCAGCTCCCTCAGTGCTCCCTTGCTGGCCTGCCTAGCGCACGCTTTGTCCCTACCGTCCCATGGGGCCCTTGTCGGGACATGCTGATGTGTTTGCTGGACCCTCCCGTTTCAGGGCCTGCTGCAGCGGTGCCACTGCGCCAATGCCACCTACCTCTTCCAGACCGACAAGTTCTACGACATGGCCTACGACACGGGAGACAAGACCGTCCAGTGTGGCCGCAAGGTGGACTGCCTCAAGCTGTGGCTGATGTGGAAGGCCAATGGGACCGAGGGGCTGGAGAAGCGAGTGGACAGGGCCTTCGAGTTCACTAGGTGAGGGGTGGGGGATACAGGTGTACCCCTAACCCCAAGAGGTGCTCTAGTGATGCCCCCTGATCCTACACATGGATGGTGTCACTAGCTCCACTATTGCTTTATGCCCACCACAAAAGATCAACGATGTTCTCTTCATTCTCTCTAGGTACCTGACTGAGGAGATAAAGAAAAGGGAAAGTTTCCAGCTGGTGATAGAGGTATGGGCATCTGGAGCCATTGCTACACCATGGCTCATCGGGAGCTTGTCGTTTTCCAAGGGATCGGGGAGAGTTTATCATGAGTTCCCAAAGCCCTTACTGATGGGTGGTTGGGCAGCACCTACTTATCCTTGTTACGTGAATTGACCAGCAATGAAATCCAATCCCTGTGGGTGTTCCTAGAGCCATAAGCGAGGGGAGAGCAGGCTTGGGCCCTGTCCAGTCTCCAGAGGCTGCACCTCCATTAGCTGAGGTTTTGGGGTACTCGGGTTGTTTACTTACAGAGATCCGTGCTGGTGACCCCTTCTCCTTTACCTCCCCCAGCCCGAGTTCATCAATCTGTGTTTCTGGTTTGTGCCGCCCAGCCTCCGGGGCAAGCAGGGCTGTGCCGATTACTGGGAGAGACTAGGAAAGGTGAGTGCAGGGAATGCTGGGAGTGGGGTGGGGGGAAGCCCCTGTTTTCTGATGGATAGATACAGCCTCCCTAGATGGTAGTAAACTCCAGTACACCCATCCAGACTCATGGAGAGAGAGAATGTGTGCGTGTGTCTGGCCTGTCCCCCTGCCAACCCCCAGGCTGTGGCACCCCAGCCTTCTCTCTGCTGGCCAGGCCAGGCTGTGGGCTGCTTCTCTAGCTTACTATGTACTAAGACTTCACTGTTTCTTTGTATCCAAGGCCCTAGGTCTTTGTCCCACTGGCCCCAGTTGATGTCTCTTGTCACACTTAGACACCAGCGTTCCAGGCATTATCCGTGAGAGGGATTTTCAAAGCCGCTTGGCACAGTTGGACATCCAGCACCCAGGGAATCTCTTAGGGAGTCCCGCACCCAAATCCCATTGATACCTTTCAAAATCCAAGGTGTTATATGGTGACCCCTGCTGGGAGCGCCTTCCAGCATCAACCCACAGCACAATAGGTGCGCCCAGCCTCAGTTTCCCTTTTCCTTGAAAGGAATGTAGTCCGTCTGCCTCGGGGCAGAATGTCTTCACATACACCCATGCTGTGATGCCCCCGCAACCTTGCACTGAAACCTTTCTCCAGTTCCCATAGTGAACACATATAGTCATTTTCCCCTCCCCCAGCCCAGGGCCTCACCCACTGGAGAATCAGTAGCAGCACTGTGCCCCCACTTCCTTTGGTGCCTGTTCCAGGTCTCCCTGC